AAATGAGGGTCGACCTGTTGTGTAAGGACGAGATAAAAACTGTGCAAGTTGGACAGGATGTCTGTTGCTTGCTGGAGTAAACGATGAAGCTGACTGAGGGCAATAGTGGTTCGATGAAGAAGTCGAACCTGGTCTGCATGAGAATGCATCTGGAGAGGTCGTGTCAAGGTAGCGAAAGCAATACACTGGAGCGTCGATTGGCGCAGCTGTGTCATCAACGCTGCATGTCGGCAGGAAAATAACAGGCGGAACGCGCAAATGAATTACGAAAATGAATTATTGAGCCTGAATTTTGCAGATTATGCATGAACGTGAATGGAATCGGAACACTGCATCCGTGGAAAGCGGAGTTTCAAACGGAAAACTGCGTCAGTGGGACGAAAAGAGCACATTCCTTGCAAAAACGCTCAAAGCCTATGGTCTTAGATCAGAAAATTCTAGAAAAATCCAAGTGAGCATGAGAGATCCATCATGAAAGCTGAAAAATCAAGTTCGAGAAGAAACGAGTAATAGGTATAACAGGTTGACGTTGTAAAGCGTTGTCGTGCAGGTAAAACATCATAACGCGGCTTTTTCACAAAGCCGGAGGTGGTGACGAGGTGAAACGTAGGGACAGGCTGCTCTCAGGCGTTGAGTTGTGGCATGGAGGTGAAGGTGGAGATGGAGCTGGCAGTGTGTTGTGGGACCTCAAAGGTCTGGAGGAGTGGCATTGATAGACCATGCCAAGCCCTTGACTATGGCATTGTTTGGGTGAATCACCCAGCAGCGGGCTTTGGAATGGCAAACAGCACCATGATCTTGTTGCAAAAGATGCATGGCTTGGGCTTCACCGCCGCTGGTGAACTTAGTCCCACGGCCCCAAGCAAGGATATGGACCATGATGGAATGGACGTTTTTTGCCATCTTCCATGTGTTGTGTAAGATACGGGCTTGTTCGTAGTTGTCGTGAATGTGTTGGTGGGTAATGCGTGTGGCTTGGGCAAAGAAGCCTGGATTGTCTTCGAAGTGAAGGGTACTGGGGAGGAGACGACCCTGTTGCAAAATGGCAGCAATGTTGCCATAAGGGCCAGTGTGACATGCGTTGATGTGAACTGTTTCAGGGGCAGTATTAGTGGCCCGAGTGGCGGGTGGTGGCAGTGGACGAGTAGCTTTGTCGACGAGGCTCGGGAGGTTGATACAGTGATAGGAAAATGTGTCGTAGGCATTGGTGGTGTCATTCCATTTCACATGGGTGAGCTGGCGGAAGTCTGCTAAATCATCGAACTCGAAGCCGTTGTCCGCAAGAAGTTTTGCAATGTAGAGATGTTGTGGTCTGTTCTCGGCGGCAAACTGAGCTGCATGGAAATCGAGCCACCATGCTATCTGTTCTTGCAGTGACAGTTGTTGGAAATGTGGAGGAGGTGCCTTCCAAGGTGGGTGGGGGCGTCGTAGCGCCGGAAAGTTGGGGTATTCGGCTTGGGACATGTTTTGGAGCTGACTGTGAGATGTAGACTGTTGATTGGGCCGGAGAGTGATAGGTGGATGAGATTTGCTGGCTGAAGACGTGGTAGATGTAGTGGAGGGAGAGCGGCGACGTCGGCGGCGTGCCGAGGATGCCTTGGCGGTGGAGGTCCCAGGGGAACGTTGGCGTCTGTCGCGTGCGTTGCGACTGTGTTGGCGGCGACGCCTTTTGCTGCGGCTTCGGCCACGATGGCTGCGGCCAGTGGTGGGAGGAGGAGGCGGTGCTGCTGTGAGAGGTCGTGAAGAAGGCGGCTTGGGAGGCGGTGCGGTTGGGTTTGTGGGTGTTGCCGGAGGTGCTGGCGGTGGTGGTGTTGGCTTGGCGGTGGCTGGTGGTGGAGTCGTGGAAGTGGTGGCAGTGGTAGTTGGTAAGGATGTCCCTGGAGTGGTAGCGATTGATGGTGGGACATCGGAAGCACCGGGAGGGGCGTTGGGAACGCCAGAAGGTAGTTGTGGAGGTGGTGGAGTAAGCTGAAGCAGTTGTGTGCGGATCCGCTGCGGAAGCTGGCAATGGGTGAGCAACTGGTGGAAAGGCCGAGAAAGGTTGCCAAACACCTTGAGATTGGTCCAAATGGATGGGGACTTGTTGAATTGGCGGCTGTGTTGGTGATGCTGGAGGAACGGGGACAACGGATGGTGGTGCATGGGGTATAGTGCGTGGAGGAGGTTGCGTTGGTATGGTCTCGAATGCCTGCATCGGTGGAGCCGTTGGGTGGACCGGTGTGGGAGCCACGAAGGTTGGTATTGGTGGAGAATGGGTTGGCATGGGATGTGGCCACGCGTGTGGTGGCTGTTGCTGCGGAGTGGGTTGAAAATGAGGTAGAAAAGCCTGTTGTGGTGGATTGGAGACAACTGTAGGAACCGGTGCCGTTGGTGGAGGGTGGTGCCATGGCGGTGGTTGAGTGGTGATTGCAGGTATGGAGGGTGCGGTACAGGGCTGTGGCCAATGCGGAAAAGGCCAAGGGTACTGCATGTGGAGAGGGCCGTCCAAGTGGCTGCGAGAAAATGGCGCCGGCGCGGCACAGCAGCTGAAATAATAAGTTTGAAGATGACAGTGAAGTCGGGAAATCCGTATGCGTGCAGTGAAGGATTAAACTTGAAAAATGGAAATTGAAAATTGGCATGCATTGTAATCTCCGAACTGTGAGCATGCATGCATTGATCGTCGGTCAAATGGCTGCGGGTGGGAAATTAAATTGAAGTTGGAGAAAACGTCGCAATGTACAACACAAACGAAAATCGGAGCGTTGGGTGGGTAATTCCTCGCTTATAGCCCGGCGGCTCGAAAATCAGGGAATTCAGGAAAAATTGGAAAACGTGGGTTCAGTTATAAGAAAGAAAAGGCAATGCTTTCCGGAATGATAGCAGCGAGTCACACTTCGAACTTGGGTTTTCAGTTAACGCAATTGCCACGATGGGAAGGAAGGTGATGGAACAGCAAGGCGAAAGGGTCCGAAAACTTGAAGGTGTTTCAACATTGAGAGTTGTCATCTGCAGAAACACGCGAGCGACTGCGGTGAAAGGTTGCAAAAACGCGTGGCTGCTGCAAGTGGCTGAAAGGAAAAGGTTTGGGGGAAGTATCATGAACAACCATGGAAACACACAAGAGGGATTGGAACGGCTTGGTCAAAAGTTGAAAACTGGCGCAGGTACACAGATTGGCGTCCCAATCTGCTTCACGGAGTATCCACAGCTGTCTTCGTTGGCAGCAGAACCGTGGACTCCCTGCTGCCCCCTGCTTGTTGCAAAAGAACGGTCTCGGTGGTGGCGAAAAGGTGAAGGGTGGAAAGCCCTTAGAACCAGGGTGTGACACACACACACATCAAGCAGCCCTGCCAAGCAGTTTCGCGATTCCAGCCCCTCCAAGCAACACCCGCCCACACGCCAATCCCAAACCACAACTTGCAACCTCACGGTTCCAACACGCGCAAAGTACTGCGCCGTGCAAAGTATATTGATGTGGGCTCGGTGTCTCCACGCTTGGGGTGCTTAGAGACCCAGCTCTATCTATGACGTCTTAGACCCAGGCGAGGTACGCGACGTCAGGATCTGGTGAATGACCAGAAGAGCTTGCAATGGGTGGCGCTTTACCGGAAACACTCGGTAAAAACCACAGGTTTGGACGCAAGGTTTTTGGGCCAAGACCATTCTAAATTACCGTTGGTTTTAGCTTTCAGAGCAGCCTTGGCGGTTGCTATGTGTGGGTGGAGATTCCGACGTGCCTCCAAAGCAATTGGCCGCAGGGTCCTTTACTTGGCCAAGGTGTCGCAGCAATTATGGTCCGGAAAGGGTGTCGATGGTGACACGTGGACTCAGGCCGTCCTCAGCTTAATGAACCCGTTTCTGGCGCCTATCCCGACCATAGAGGACAGGGCCCCTAGAGGACTTGAGGGCAGTGGTGTTGTGGACCCCAAAATCCGTAAACGTTCTTCGTAACTACAAGTTTGCCTTCATCCTACCAGCTCTGGAACAGAGTGATAAGGCGTAATTCTACCGTGTCCAGCAAACACTTGCCTGGCCTGAACTTGACCTTCGGAGCTACAATGGTGACCTTCCAAAAGTCGCCCCTTTCTGACCTTTCTCCCGATCACGAGATGAGCGGAGGTTTGTGCTCAACCTTTTTCAATGTGGTGTGGACCTGAAACTTGATGCTACCAGCGTCACGTATGTCGGTCACCTTGCTTTCCACCAGACACCGGCGTTGTTGGGAACTTCTTCTTGAGCAGGCCAAGGCAAAAGGAAAAAGGCAATAGCGCTCGGGCTGCTTGGGGAGAGTCCGGCTACAGCCCTAGTGCCCCAGAGGGGGATGCGTGACCCATTTTGCCTGCCCTATGCCCAATTGCGCCTGCCACGACAATTGCCACTTTAGCCGAGACTGTCACGAAAACACATCTTCAAAGCAACGCCCTGAAACGCAAATCCCTATGTCACAGCCACATACAACACCAAAGCACCACCCTCTGAACGCCAATCCCAGTCTGACTGCGAAGAAAACTGCGAAACTCGCAAAACGCCGCACCTGCGCAGTGAATTCACGTTTCCTTGCTTTTTTCACACGAATCTGACACGTCATGCTTCCATCCAAAACCCTCTCCAAAAGCATCGCCCAATGTCAGCGCCATAGCGCTTCCAAAGCGAATCACTCCTATCCCAAGCCCTCTCTTCCCAAAACAGCGCTCACGCTTTTGGCGACAACTCCAAGGGGTGGTGCCAGGCTGGGAGCACCTCAGACCTGGCACCAACCCTGGTCCCCTAAACAACCATCCATTGGGATGGTGCAATAGACTCCTAAGGCTTCGCATTGCTTCGCGCATTTCACCACAGCTCCCATGGGGCGGGCGGGCAGGGTGCAAGCAAAGTTGCGGCTCCTGAGCAATCAACACCTGTTCAGACGAAAGAGACCACCTGAACTCCAGGAACAACATGTTCAACTGGAAGGGGATTGGGGTGTGGAGTGATTCCCTTATGCAGAGTGTCCCTGGAAAAATGTCGCTGTCGGGGTCCTCCACGGAGAGACGTGGATAATCTGCAAGACCACAGTGGTCCACTGCTTGCGCAGCACCTGAAGAGTTGCCGATAAGGTGGGAAGATTGCAATCGTCGAGAGAATTCTGATTCTGGCACTTGGCATCTGCTTCATAGGGTGTGCCAAGGGCCGGGAAGTGAAAGAGTCCCAGCTGATGGAGGGATTCTTTTCAACCACTCGAGGCTGGCGATGAAGGACTTCACCCATCCAGAGTTACCAAGACCTTGGGGCCTCTAGGTTTCTAAAGCTTTGGAGCTAGGGTTCTTGGACCTCAAGACCTTTGCTAGACCTCTTAGACGCTAGAGAGGCCTCCAGACGTCCAAATCTCTCTCAGTCTCAAGACTTCTCTGGATCTCACGAATTGTGGATCTCTAGACTTGTAGATCTCAACCAGATCTGTCTGGATCTCAAAGCCTCTACATAGATCTCCCAGACCTCAAACTCTAGATCTCCAGAACTCAGAGGCTCCAAATCTCTGGACTCCAAAACCTCAAGAGCTCTGGGCCTCTAGATCTCCACATCTAGACCTCCAGACCTCTAGATCTTTCCGGATGTCTAGGCGTTTAGATCTTTCCAGAGACCTAGACCTTTAGATTTTGTCTAGAGACCTCTAGGTTTCAAGGCCTCTAGACTGGAGCTGCCGGGCAAGGAATCGTTCTCGTCCAAAGGCTGTGGCTGGGTGCCAAGACGGACTCCGAGAACACTACTAGGCCTCCAGCTCCAGACCTCTTGAACTCTAGGCCTAGACATCTCTCTGGATCTCAAGACCTCTACACCTCTCGAACTCTAGATCTGTGATTTCTAGATCTGTCTGGATGTCTAGGCGTTTGGATGGTTTAGATCTTTCCAAACCTCTAGATCTTTCTGCTGGATAGCAAGACCTCTCGGGATCTTAAGACCTCTAGTCTAGACCCCTAGATCTCCTGCTTCTACACCTCTTAGAACTCAAAACACTGTTTGGGGTCTCTTGCCGGAACAATGATCTATCCGTCCCATTCATTTGTATTCATGTGTTCTATTGATCAACCTATGCAGAAAAAACGCGCGGCGTTCCCTGAGGAGGGCCTCTCGCTTTTTCAGGCCCCACACTTTCAACACAGCACGTGTCAAGATGGATTCATCGCGTGTGCTCATAAAATGTCAAACACAAATACAAGAATGCCCAGGCATGTCCAACCAATATCGTTACCCAAACTACATCTGAGTTTGAACACTCACCCCCGGCTGCGCCTACCACCAGCTGTTCATTATGCGGTGCTCCCAAGAGACTTGCAGGCCTTACCCAGGGCACTTTGGGTTCCTTTGTCACTTGCTTGGAAAAGATGTCTTGGATGGATCTAGCGGCCGGTGACTTGTGTGGTTGCGATGTCCCCTCGCTGCCAAATTGTGTACCAACTATGATCAATCATGCTTAATTCACAGTGTCCTGGTCCTCACACAAAGCAACCGCCAAGTCTCCTATCCTGAAACTTGGACCTCTAGCGCCAACTGGATGGACTCCATTTCCTTGTCAAGTATGCTCTCTTTCCTTTCCCTGCGCCCTCGGGTCCCTACGTCACTGCAATGTTTCGAAAGGCATGGAACATGGCGGTGCTCAGTGCCTTCCATGAGTCTCTGTCCAGAAAGCCAAGTTCGTTGTGTGAAGACATTCTTCTACACACCACAATGTTGGTAGCTACGACACCCCTGGAAAGGTGCGCATGTTGCACAGGTAGCTTTGGCCAAAACTATGTGCACGCTTCAGAAAATTCCGAGTTTTGAGGAAAGTAGAAATAAGCACTTATAATAAGCAAGCAAGCAATGAAGCAATGGTGTGTTGCTGTAGTCACCACGGGCGTACGCCGCATGACTTCACAAATGGGATTGAGTAGTTGCTGTCCATGACCAGTAGCAAAGCCGGCCATCAAAAGCACGAAGCCGAGGAAAATGCCTAGCCTCAGCTTATGGGAGAGACCCTGAGAGCTGCTGTATGGGATGAACTCCTGCACCACCCAGAAATGAAGTGTCAGAATGTTGAATTTTTGTACATAATAAGGATAGAAGCTTCGGTTGTCCTCCAGTCCCACATTGTCTTGCGAGATTTACTATCAAGATGGGGCTGGGTTACTCAATGCTTCAATAGCTGCTCAATGTCATTGCAAGCCTTTATATACAGTACATACTTGTTCATTCTGCGAGGAGTGTCCGAACTGAGTAGATTGGTATATAAGTGTAGACAAGTTCCCTGCTCCGTGTTCCCTGCTCCGCTGTCGCTCTGAGAAGGATGACAAAACAGCACCAGCAATAGTTCGATGTCCTCCTCGGCCAAAGGAGTCTCATCCGTCAAGACACCCGAACCAAATCGCTCTCATTTGCGCGTTTTGTGCTACCAAAGAGGTGCAGTATGGCTCACTATGGTGCACTCAGTCTCAGAGACAAAGTTCCTCTGTTTTCGTATGTTTTCGTGAAGAAATACAGCCAAACTGCTCCCTAACGACCACTTCTTACAACAAGACAACAAAATTCTTGCGTCCCCTGTAGCACACTCGGCACACCCTCAAATCCCTCCAGTCGACAATTCAACATGAACGACTTCCCTCACCCTGCTGCTAAGCTTGTGGGGAATCGAGTCCTTCCTTGATCCAAATGAGGAAAAAAACGCTAGGTAGGTGGTTGATTGCATTCCAGGTGGCTTGAGTCAGCAGCTCTAGACCTGTTGGCAAACATCATGGCATCAACAAGCTTCCAGTCGGAGTGACTTGTGACGATATGTTGGCAGCACCTATCCTCTTGCCTCGTGCGCACAGGCCATGCTGATGTGAGGGAGCAGCCGTCAACCATTCTGCTCCCCAATCCTTCCCAACAGGTCCTTTCCCCTCATAACAATAACCTGGGATGGTCTTGAATTATACAAGATCACCTGGGGGCAGGGTTTCCCACTGAGCCCCACGCGTGCCCTGCTCTTTGGCAAGCTCCCTGAAGCGGGGCTCACCAGTTTCCATCAAGAAAGTGCAGTACAGATAAAGAGAACACTACAATACGAAACCCTTTTCTTATTGCTTTCTATATACATTCTACATACAGTAAATTGCTCATATTCGGTGGTTCGATGTTACACAGTTTGGCAAAACAGCATCGACCCACACAAATTTCTGGTGCGTGGGAGTGACACGGGTACAAGAGGAGACGAAAGCAAAGTCATCTGCCAACAGCCGACATGGAAAAATGAAAGAGGAAAGAAATTGTGGATTCAAACCCAAACCAAAAAATCATGGAAAAACACTGTGGAACAGGACTGTTTAGCAAACCAAACGAAACAGAAAATACGAGCGAAACCACAATGATCGTTGTTTCTCAGCCTTTTGGCACTCTTTCTGAAAATACCTCATTGGTCTGATCTCAAATGGCTCGAGTTAGAAAACGTTTTTGTTCCTTTTAGCCCGCTCTTACTTAATTAAGTAGGCGCCTACTTAGTTATATAAGTAAGGGAGAAGTAAACTACTAGGCTAAGTTGGCTTCTAAGGACGCACAGGTGGATTCCAATCTTGGCATTTGGGACAGGCCACTTATTCATATTCATTCAGCTACATATATACAGTGTATATTATATGTACAGTATACCTGAGAAGGGAGGGGACGAAAGCCAGCCTCCATAAGAAGACATCAATATGGCAATGGGGGGTGAAACCGAGAGAGCATTGGAACCTTTGCGTGCAAGATCAAGTGATTGGCTACCATCGGGCAAAGAGTACCTTTGCTATGGGGTGAAGTCGACATTGCAGGCATGCCGACAGGGGGTAGAAATAGAAGCAGAATACATAGGCTTGGCGGGGGGGGGCGCCCTTTTTTACTCCTCGCTCAAGCTGAAAAAGGGCACCCTAAGGAACTGAGGGGCGCTTGCCTGCTCCGTGTTGCCAGACAGTGAGGAAAGATGGCTGGGGGGGCCCAACCACTTTTCGCGTACCGTTGTACCCTCTTTCCCACCGCCAACATAAGCTCCCACCCCTGTGCCCGTCTCATCCACATGAACCGAGTCCGGCAACTAGGCCTCCTCACCGTTAAAAAAGAGCACCCCCAAGCAGTTCAAAGCTTGCCCGCTGCATTCTGTTCTCTTTCCTGCCCCCAACAGACCGCATCAGTACATGAACTCGCACCCCGTGGCAAACCCTCTTTTCCTACCCATCCTCCTCCGCTGTGCCTGTCTTCCACCTTCCCCACAGCATTCTATTCCCTCTCCTGCCCTCACAGATCACACAGTCTTAAGAGACACACACCTCCCTCTCACGCCTAGTCACCTAGTCGAACACGATTTCAATGGCCACCAGACGTGCCTCTCCCTTTCCTGGAGGCGTTCCAACCACTTTTCGCGTCCCGTTGTCCCCTCTTTGCTACCGTCGACATAAGCTCGGAATTTCAAACGGCTTATATACATTGCCTCCTGAGCCCCGCATGATGCTAATGATGCACTGCTTGCCGTCAATTAGAATATTAAATCACTTCCATCACAACACCCCAAAACCACTCATTTTCACTACCTCCTGGCCACCTCTTTTTTTCGCTCTCCCCCACCTGTGCACCCACCCACCCCCCACACCCCCTTTACTCACTTCGTTCGCTCCAACCAAGCCTCAGCCTAGCCTATCGGCTGGCTTTCGTGATATATGATTATAGAATTTTATAATATGCATAATCATTGAGGACTTGAATGCAATGGACCTAAGGCTTCAGGAATGTGCTTTCATGCACCAAGCCCCCCCCAAACCCACAGCCTCTCAAGTGTGGGAGGAACGGCCGATGGGTCAGTGGGTGCATCAGGAGGATAAAGGTCTGCGGCCACCACCGAGTCTACGGCCGGTGGGTCCGGCTCCATGGCAGAGCTTCAGACAGTCATGCCCGCAAAGTCGTAGAAGGCTTAAGTTTATGGCTTACCTAATAGTCTCTCAGAGAAAAAACTGTAGAAGGCATCCAATACCATCAAAGAATCCATCGAGCCTTTTGCATCAATTCTCTTATCATCTGAGTAGTACAACCGCAGTCCCCGAAATTCTCAGTGTGGTGAATGAGGAATTGACTTTCTGTTGATTAGTGTGTTTCGAAGTGTGCTTCTTGAGCACCTGCTCTTTCCAACGTATGCTTGTGCAAAACTAAAATGCTTAAGAAAGCTGGCTTTCGCTCTGAACTTTGATCAAAGAGGTCGCATTGGTCTACGTGCAAAATTTCGCTGCTCTGGAGGTGCCAACATTGTCAGGTTGCAACATAGTACAGTATATAGCTGCAGCTGTTTGCTGTGGGTGACTTCAAAAATATAAGACCTTCGGCGAACTGCAAACCAACCTGAACAAAATCGCAGGGGCATCTCAAAAAACCAAGAAAAATCAAGTTAGTTTCTCAGATTGACGAATATGTAACAGTATGCTAGATTCTTGGACCCCATGAGAACACCCATCCCGTGCACCTCTTCTTGACTGTGCATTAAAATATATAGGTCCCGTGCGACATGGACAGCAGGACTGGCAAATGTGTCCGCCCGCCTTGGGCGGACGGGCTCAACTATCGCCCCCCCCCCCCAGCATGGAATTTGAGCTGCGATACTCTCAGGACACATTGTTGGGTATCAAGACATTCAGCCCGTCCTTCTTTGCTCAAAGTCCCAATGCTCAAGAAAGTAGGATTGAAATGACTGGAGGCTCAAGTGAAGCATCTTGGGGGATGCACTGTTGTATGGCTCAGCTCCGATGCAAGTGGGGAGCCAGCGAATCTTGGAGAAAGCTTCACTTTCCCCAACAAAAAACTGAGAAGGCAATTCAGCATGCTGGGCTCCAAAATATGAGGAGTCAAGCCCTCTATTTCAAGTTTGACATCAGTCAAGCGGCTGCTTCGTACGGGCTACCTAACTCATCATGAGTGCTGTCTTTGTTAGGGACACTTTGCCTAGTCTCATGTCCATCCGTCTGACACCGAAGGCTCGGTCTAGTCTCTGGGGTTTGTTTACTTGGAGACTCCTGATTAAACTGGTGAAGTACGTCATCTTATCCGACTGACTTTGGAAAACTAGCATACCAAGTCATCTTCCAGAGGCCAGCAGCGGAATGGCCTAGGGCCTGGAGACCAAAAATATCTCCCATGTGGACAAAAGGGCCTGCCTGCCTGCTGATCCAAATTCCTGGTTCCCAGTCTGGACTTTTCAACAATTTGTTCGTCGGCATCGGGACCTCATGTTCACCAGAGCTGCTTTAAGTTAAACGCGTCGTTCCAATCTTTTGGATCAACCTCTATTTTGAAGACCTTGCAAATCTAGCTTCCCAGTCGATCCTTGCCACCTTGCCAAGTACAACTGCCTCACGGAAGATCATTTCTGCGGGCCGACGCTCCCAGTCCTGGCCCATACAAAAAGTTACCCGCACTTGGTGCATCCAACACATCCTTTAGTGAATTCAAGATAAAAGGTCAAGCAAAAAAAAAGAGCGTATAGACGATGACTACCACCATCATTGCCGAAGACATACATGGAGAGTAGCCAGTAAAAGGTCAAGCAAACAAACCCTGTATAGGCGTGCCTGCCCATTTCAACCCAATGCAGCCATGTCTTGAAAAGACATGAAAAGACATTATAAGAATCAGAGGTAACAAAATAAACCTACCAGCGAAAAACAAGAAGAGAACTATGAACGGCGTGGTTTCTTTGGGGGAAGAGGAAGTTGACCAGTGATGAGTTTCCATCTGGGACGCGAGGTTGCACGTGAGATGACTGAACGATAGACTGGAGTGTTGTTTGATCAAGCAGACACCATGAACTTGGGAGACTTTGGCAGCTGAGGGGTGATGAATGGTAGTATGCTGAATAGAGGTTGGTAGGAGGAGGGGGAGAAGGAAAAGAAGACCGTCTATAAGCGATAAGCATTGGATGGGGTGAAGCAACAAAGATATTCAAGACAGTCTTGATGGTGGAGGGCATGACCAAGGAGCTTAACCCTGCGGTGGATCTGAGCTGAGAAGGCGCATAAGCATAGCGACCATAAGAATTAGCAAGGAGCTGCAGGTACTCGCTTGAGCAAGGATCAAGGTCCCCTTGGAGGAGTCGATGATAGTATGAGGACTTGACACCAAAGATGGGACGAAGGATGCAGAAATGCAAAGTGTCCAAACGTACAAGTTCTGCGGGGTGGGACAATGCTTTCAATGGTGAAGAGAACAATATATATATATGTATATATATTATATATATACAGTAGATTGAACAGCTGACTGGTAAACCACTGGCCGGCAGCCGGGGGTGATACCATGAGTGCGACAAAACGGAGTCAGGAGGTGGGCTGCAGAGGTGGCCTTGGAAAGGCGACGTTCAATATTAGCGGAGGAAGAGCCAGTATCATTGAGCTGAGCTTCCTAAGTAGCGAGCTGCGCGTACCTCGGTAACCAGATGAGAAGGAGAGTTTGGATCCGAAACAGTGATGACAAGGACAGGAGGGAGCTGAAACAGAAGGACAGAAAGAGATTCGTTCTTGAGAAGTCTACCGCAAGGGTGCGCAATGATGGAGACAAGTTGCAGCAAGGGATGAGTGAGACATAAGTACAAGTACAGTATCATGAGCATATTGCAAGTCCCACCAAGGGAAAGGACGATTTAAGACGAGCAGAGGAAGAGCATAATAATGCACAAAGAATTTTGTCATGGAGGATGCAGTCAAAAGCTTGTGGCCAATCAAGGAAGACAAGGTGAACTGGGAGCCGGTGCTGCGGTGCTCATGGGCTTGCAGGAGTTGCCTAATGATGTGGACAGGTTGGGACACAAAGCACCCAGCGCAAATCCAAATTGAGTAGGGCGAAGAAACTGTCCTGCGACAAGCTGGAGGCGGGAACGGAGCATCGAAGCATAAAGTTTGTGGTTGACATTGGTGAGCGAAATAGGGCGGTAATTGGTCAAGGAAGTGAGTTTGGAGGGCGACTATGGCAGCATGTGTAACTACAGTAGAATGGAGCCAAGCTTGAGGAAGAGAAGGACCATGAAACCATGAAGTAAAGAGGAAGGAGAGAGAGAGAGAGAGAGAAAAAAAAAAGACAAAAAACAGATAGAGAGAAAGAAAAAACAGATAAGATAAAGAGAAAAACAGAAAGACTGAAAGACAAAAAGAAAGAAACAAAGCCGAGGATCATATAATACAGGAGGTCCCAAACCTCAGATTCAGATTCAAGGAGAGGTGCACCGCGGCCGTGCCAAGCTTTGTGATGCAAATACTAGGCGAAGGATACGGCAAGCTTGGGCTGGAGTCGACCATCAATCCCACTTAAATATTGACAGTTTTACAAGAAAAAGGGCGACGAAGGCACTGGAGGATGCGCCATTCCTGAGCTCAGTGAGAGCGAGAGTGGGTAAGGAGAGAGAAAGCAACATGGCGCTGGCAAAAGAGGAATCACTTTGTTCGAGCAGAGAGGGAGAGGATTAATCTAGATTAATCTTCAGAGCCCTGATTTCTGCAACCCACAACAGTCCCTTCTCAAGTTTTTTTACGCGCTTGGATTCACTCCGAAATTGGAAGGGCGCGTAGCAAAAGCTCATTTATTGGTTCCAAAGACAGGGTCCCAATTTCAGGAGGAGCAATCGCAGTCATAAAACGGGTAGAGGCCAGGCGGGTGAACAGCAAAACGGGCGATGTGCGAGCAGCTGCTGTGGCCTTTAGATGCAAGGCAACAAGACATTTTGCCTGAAGAATGCAAATTCACCATTACTCCCGCACCCACCTAGGCATTCCAATTTGAAAGGGTGTGCCTTGGCAGCACAGTAGCGTGCTCGTGGCGATCGAGGTCCACAAGGATAGTCCTGAGGATAGGCATTGGGATTCAGGTCGCCTTGCCTACTCAGGATACTGAAACCCTCAATACAGTAAGTGTTTCTTTTTCGGGGTCTTCGGATGTTACCTGAAACCTATTGGCCTCTTGGAGTCTTGCCTTCTGAACAGCATCAGAACAATGGCCACAGAAAATTATCTTCCCAACTTCGGCCAAGACCATCGGCATATGGAGTTAAACTGACGCACCCAATTCCGCCGCTCCACACCTGAAAGCTGCGCCTCATGCTCGGCTCACCAGTCATGGGATCCTGCAAAGGTGCTTCTTTCATAGATACTTCTGTCCAATTGTTCCTCCTGTATCAAGTCTCTCAAGTTTTCAAAATGTTGGCTTCGCTGAATGAATTTCAACACCCCCTGGGCCCTCCCTTTCTCATTTCCAGATTCTCCTTGTACTGCAGCTCCCCACCCAGCGCCCGTGCACGTGCGCGCGAAGGCAAGGTCTGTGGCACGGGCGCCTCCAAAGGCTGAAATTATACAAACCCGATAGAGGACTCAATGAGGATGCGAAAAGACTCACAAAAGCCTGAGGAGGTACTCCGAGGTACTTTGAACGAATGGGACATCTTGTACTTTCCCTGGACCAAAAGGCTTGATTTCCTGCATATCAACCTTCCAGCGTGCCTTGAAATCCTTCTTGCACCTGGGTGTGGCAGATTGGCTGGCCTTGGCAGACCGTTCCGTGGCAGAAAGATGCAACTTCAAGCGATTCCATACTTACTGAGCCGAACATATGTACAGTGTACACGTGATTACAAGCCAGCGTGGAGCTTATGATTTGATTGGGCACCAGATGTTGGATGTTGGTGTTTTTGCGAGGCTGCTGCAGCTACACGGTCGCACGCCCGACAAAAGGTACAGCATAAATCTTAGTCTTAGAGGCTGTCTGATAAGAGCACGCAAAAGGCAGGCAAGAGTTTTCTCTTTCGATTCTCCTGATGCAAAAGTACATGTTTTGGCCCTCACAGCACAATTACCAGACCGCCAGACTGGCCACCTTCCATTTAATCTACTACCTAAACCTTTTCCAAGTGGCCGTTATAATAGCAAGCGCCTGAATCAAACAAAT